AACCGGTTCTGAACAGGAACCGGTTTTCGATTCCCATCCCTAGTGCTGCTACAGAATTTTATTTCTATTAATTCTTTTTGGTATGTAAGTCGTAGGGGGGAGTGGCGGCCGAGTGGTTTGGGCATAGAGCTTGGAATCTTGAGGGTCTGAGTTTGAACCCCACTCCCAGTGACTGACACACTGTATCCATGAGCAAAAGACCCTTAACCTCACACTGCTCCCTGGGAGCCGCACAATGGCAGCCCACTGCTCCGTAATGGGATAGGTTAAATGCAGAGAGTTGCGACAGTGTAATGACAATAAAAGCTGGAGAAAAAAAAAGAAGAAACTATTACATAAAAGACAAAAACTATAACTGAATTTAATAGCCAAACTGGAACAAAACTTTAAAAAAAAAAATCAAAAAATAAACTACATTGCAAATACACAAAACAAATTAAAACTAAAATATATTTGAAAATCAGAAATCAAAACTAAATGAGAATAAAAACACAGAAAATTTCAAAATGATTCAAACCTTGGTGCTTAGTTTGCCACCAGCTCAAGATGAAGATTTTTTTTTGCGTGTGTGTGCTTGTCCTTGAAGTAGATATTACCTATTTGCCCTTCATTTAAACAATAAAAATGAACTATTCTTGATTTAAACAAAAATTAACCCAACATTAACAATTGCAAATGGAGGGAGCTGCAGTACATTTGCTTTACCTGGTTTAAATCCAATACTGTGTTAATTATGCAGTGTCAACGTATATTGACTCTTTTAGAGTTATTACAACAACAACTGGAGTAAGATAGACACTATGTAGAGAGTTGATTTAACACTAATTCAGAGTGGGACCAAATGCACTCGGATTGGTGTAAATGTAACTCTTAAATCGTTGCTTTAACACTGAAAAATTATCAGTGAAGGCTGCTGAATGCAGTTTAAAACGCAGGCAGAAAGTGTATATATAGAAAGAAAAAATATAGGCCAGTCTGTCTCTACCTCCAACCCAAACCTGATGTTATACATAGACATACATTTAAAAATGACAATTCTGTTGCCTTGGCCTTTAAAAATGAGCAGTAAATACCTGCTTTTATTAGATACAGCTAACTAGAGTGGAGAATAAAGATGACTCTTAAACTGGTGGGCTAATTAGAATTACTTGCAGCTTAGAAATAAATATAGTCTGGTGTCTAATCCTATAACACATTTTTGAATGGTCCCTTAAGAGAATTGATTTGAGATTTGATTTAGGAGAGTATTTTGAATGATTGTGTCTGATGTTTTGTCTGCTGTCTATGGAGCCTGTTTGACTGATTGTGGCTGAACTGTTTTCAGGTCAGATTGGTTCCTTGCAGGCCACCCAGATGGCTCACGAGGCGACCATCAGGAACCTGGATCAGGAGCAGAGTCGGCTCAAAGATAAGATCAGCCGACTGGAGGAGGAGAGGGAGGCACTGCTCAATCAAAGCCAGGCGGCCAGCGAACAGCACAAGCAGCAGCTGCTCCAACTGGAGCAGGTGAGGTCATGTTCCTGAAACCGACGCTGTGAAACAGGGAACAGATTGAAGATTAAAATTTCATACTTTTGTGTCTGTACATCAGTCCCTCCGGGAGGAGCATCAGGGCTATGAGAAGGAGCTCTCTAGGCTGAGAGCTCACTATGAGGAGGAGACCCTTCGCTTTAAGGAGGCTCAGGTCAGAGCGCTGGAGGAGCTGGAGGAGAAGCACAGGAACATGAGGGAGGAGGCTGAGCAGGAGAAAGAGGATGAGAAGAAACTCCTCGTTACGGTGCGTCTCCTAAATGTATTTAATTTACAATGTTTACTTTATTAGTTTCCTTTTTTGTTTTTTACATTAATCTCAAATCTGAGCCCCCTTTTTACCTTGATGCCCATAAATAAATACAATTTGGGCAAATGTCTTTGAAGGTTTTCTTATCAATAAAGGAAATTTAAATGTG